TGGTACAAAACAGCCCTGCAAACAGACGGGAAGAATAAGCCTGAAGCAGATGTGGTCTCCTGAAATACAAAAAACCAGCATGGGGTTTGAGGCAAGAATTCAGAAAGAGCTCCTGTAACTCCCATACCAACAAGGCAAGTGTCAATGAAAAATGACAAAATCCATTTCCTAGACGAGAAGGCAGGCCAAACAAGCAACATCTGAAGGAAATCATGAATTAAGTCAAAGTGGTCCCAGACTGGCCGTGCCCCAGAACACTAGAGCTGGATCAGCGTGAACCCTCTCCAGAAGGAGAACAACTTCCTCCTGGGCCTCAGAGTCAAAGAGGCACAGCCAGGGGAGGTGGCTGCCTCTGGAGATCTCAGTGGGAGCCAGGGAAAGAAGGAAGGGGTGACAGGCTCAGAAAACAGGAGGTGGCACAGAAATCACGCTGAGCAAAAGATGCTTCCCTAGGGGAGCATGTAGGCGGCGAAGGGGACTCTTCTCCTCACTCTCGTCCTCTCCTCTTCCTCCTAAACCTCTCAACCAGGGATGCTGAGCACAGAGAGAAGTGACGACAAATTCCCAGAGGACAGCTCTTAGCCAGGAGAGGCTAACTGCCATGAAGGGAGGCGAGGAGAGGCGAAAGGAAAGGTAAGGAGAGGAGGAGGAGAGGGAGAGAGGAAGGGAGGGAGGGGAAAGGAGGAGGAGGGAGGAGGAGGGAGGAAGGAAAGGAAGGGAGGAAGGGAAGGAAGGGAGGGAAGGAGGAAGGGAGGAGGGGAGGAAGGGAGGAAATGAACTCAGAAGGCCACTGGGATGGACAGGAGCTCTGCAGGGGGCTCCCGGGATTAGGATGGAAGGAGAGGGCCTGAGTGGGGCTGTGGTTTCAGGAGGCAGTATCCTGGCGGAGACGGGCAGCGGTACAGTCAGCTGCAAAGCAGGATCTTTGGAAAAGACAAGGACTTCCTAAAAGAGACACAACGTGTGGCACAATGAGCATACAAGCAAGGCCTGAAGAAGAAAGCAGACCTTGAGGAGACACACCCCCAGCCCCAGGAGTTGGGGTCAGTTGAGTGTGTGCTAGTGGGGTGCAGCCAAGCAGGCGATTTCATGGGAATACAGCAGAGAACCGAGAAGGCCCATACCTTACGCTCACAGTTGGCTGTGCCTGGGGCTCCAGAGCATCACGGCGGGCCCCACAGGGAAGGCAGCAGCAGGGCGGGCCTGGGAGGTGACCGACCTGATCTGCTAAGAAGACAAGCAGAGAGGGGAGGGAAAGTCTTGTTCCTGCCAGGACATTGTTAATGGGAGGAATGAGGAGGCAGCAGGTGAAGAAGGTATGGCGTGGAGGGCAGAAGTCAGAGCGTTTTGGGTCTGGGTGCTGACCTGCTGTGGGAGATAAAAATGAAGACTCAGGTGCATTCTGGTCCCTTTCTCGAGGATAGCTGCACACCACCCACATCCTGCCTGGCCTGGTGATGCCATTCTTCCTAGGCCACTCACTGCTCACGCTTCTTTACTTGGACCCTCTCCTCATCCCACCACAGAAAGACCTCTGTGGAGGTCTCAGGAGCGTGCACCACGTGCGCATTTGTACCCCACTGCCCAGCACACCCAGGAGTGAGTGAGGGCAGCTGGGAGGATTGGAGAAGGGAGCCATATGTGGCCACCACGGGCTTTCCCGCTAGCAGCCACACGAGTGACTATCAGCTCATGATGCAAGTTCTGATTCTTCATACAAGAGGCTACAGGCGGGCAACAGCAACCCCACCATTCGAGGATCCTCACTCATGATTTGAAACCACTCCCAGCAGCTTCTGGGGTGTTTGGCAGCTAGCAACCATTCTTGGGGGAAGGAACCCAGGAGGATGCTAACATGCATAGGAATTGCAACTGGGAGGATCTGGAGGCCCCCTGCAGCCCTAAGGCTCCACATCCCATGAAGACCCTCTCCTCCTCACCTCATCTTCCAGTATTCCTGCTTCCTCGAGCTTCTCAGGGGAGAAATGGGTGCATCTCACTAGAAAAACAAAGAAAGCAGCCCTTTGCTGATTAAACCTTACCTAAGCAGATACTGTACCCTGGGCACCCAGTTTCAGAAATGAGTAAAACACCAGCGGTTCCTTCAAGGAACTCAAGAGACCCTGCGGCAGCCAGACTCTTACAGAGCAATTACCACCTGGAGTTGCAACAGCCTAATGTAGGAGTAGGAATGGGGATGTGCAAAATGCTATCAGAGCTGGAGACAGCCCTAATACTTGGGGTGGGGATGTGAAGGTGACATTAAAGTTGTGCCTTGAAGGAGGCCAGGAGTGCACCAGGACAAGGCCATGGGAACTAACGGTGCAAAGCAAGGGAGGCCTGGAACAGCAGGCTGGTGGGGACCAGTGACTAAACAGCACAGCGTGAACCCAAAGAGTGTTCGGCTTAAGGGTGGGGAGAGCTGAGCTGACTCCTTGAACTGTTAGGGCTTAAACCTGAGAAGGCCTGACCGGCGTTTTCACTAGATTGTTGAGGACAGATCTATGACTTAGAAACTGAGCCAATGGAATGTGAGACAGACCTGAGGAAAGACAGAGGCTTCCAGGTTGGTCAGGAGGCTCATGGAACAGTGCAGGCTCCAGACCACGAGCCCTGAGTTCTGGAGTAGCAGCAGGATGCAGGGCGAGGAGCAGTTTTGTCTCATCAGGCCTCCAGGAGGCAGGGACTCAAGGCTTGCCTTGTAAAGTCAATGCGGGAGACTAGGATGAAGGGAGGACAGAGGAGTAAGCATGGCAGCACTACAGAACCTGAGCCCCTGACTGAGATGGAGAAGAGAGTTTGAAAGCCAAGTTTGCCAGGGAAGTTGGGCTATGTGTCAGGCTGACTTACAGGAGGCAAGACATTAGAGTGTGGAGCGTTTCTCATCACACACAAAGGGCGTTAAAAGACGGTCCCTCTGGACCCCAGCCCCCCTCCTCTTCTCCCAGCCCCGCCTGCTTCTCGTGCAGCTGCTTTCCAAGCCCGCCTCCAGCCCCTCCCAGCGGTTTCTTTCTCCCCCAGCCCTCCTACTCTCAGCGGACTCCTACACACACTCCCCTGCTGGTTCTCGGGAGTCCGCCCGAGCTCCTTCTGCAACCTCTCCGCGCCAGCTCTCACGGCCCTGCCCGCAGTGGTTTCTCTCAGCTCCGCCCGGCCTGCCCCAGCTCCACCTCTTATCCCTGGCCCCGCCCTCAACACCGCCCCAATGGTTTCTCTCAGTCTGCCCTGCCCCTCCCCCAGCTCCACCTCCTCCTCTCCCAACTCCGCCTCCCACCCACTCCCCAGCGGTTTCTCCCAGCTCTCCCTGCTAGTATGGCAGCTCTGGACAAAACTCCTGCCTGGTGGCCTCGTCCCGCCCTTCCCCTTACTCTTTCTCCCTCCAATTTCCTTTTCCTCCTTCCCGGTTCTTCGCAGGTTGCCAGTCTCAGGCTCCTGGCCTTGGCCTGGCTGGCTGGCGCGCATGAGGCTGGTAAAGGAATAGCGTCTCTAACCCAGCCAGGCGTGCGTGCGTGCGTGATGTCGTCAGTGCGTGTCTTCGAATGCGAGATTCATAATGACTTGGGCTGTCTATATGCATGGCTAGTCGTGCCTCCTGCGTGGTGTGCGTGCATGCGTGATTACGTGCCCACGTCGTTCTTCATGAAAGGGATGGCCAGGGTGCCATTCGCGGTAGAGTTCTGGACCGCTAGCGCTTGTCACTGGCCACCGGTTTCCCGGAGTTAAGCGGCGGCGACCTTGCAGCCTCGGCCTGTGGGCGCTCCTCTTCTCACCGCGGCCCAACGTCTCCTCGTTTGGGATCATTGTCCTGGCTCCGGTGGCCTCCGCTGGGTCCTGCCCGGGGAGGCGATTACAGTTCTTCCTGTGGCGAAAAGCCGGAGTCGGCCTGGGCACGACTGCAGGGTCCGTAGTTCCCGGAGGCCGTGAGACCTGCCGGGAGCTGACAGGTGCCAGGGCCCATGATGCAGGAGCCTATGTGCTCAGCCTTCTTGCGGACGGTACCTGAGGGCTGGGGCTTCCCTGGATGTGGGGCTGGGGAAACCCGTGGGGCGCGGCCAAGGCTCCTTTTCCTGCCCCCTGCTCTGCCAGGAGTCTTGGCTCCGCTCCTTCTAAGCGTGTGTACGCGACGTGCGTCCTGCGAAGTAGAAGGCCCGTGTGCTCCACACACGTGGCCCGGCCCCACCTCAGCTAGTCTTCCCTGCCTCCCATGGCCCCTCTGCTGTGAGCTGCGCCTGGACCCGAGGCCGGCGGTGCACAGCCTCTGTAACCTGTGGCGCCCCGTGCTCAAGCGTGACTTACCCAGAATTAAATGAGGACAATGGGATTTAGACCCCAAACCCTCGCCCCTCGACAATGGGAGGGAAAGTGTCGTTTTCTCCTTCGAAGATGGAGTGTGCTCAGCTGCAGGAATGCTGTTCAACGTGGTGAAATGATTTTCTGTCCTGCGGGCACAGTGCACCCTGTGTCCTTGGCCAGACAGGTGCTGAGGATCCCACTGCTGTGATTAGCCGAACCAAACTGTGAGGTGCATCAATGATACTGATAAGACCTGACCCTCCCAGCTCTTCTTGGTTTCCAATGCCTGCTAAGTAGATGACCTTCTTCGGGCCATGAACCAGCTTTGCTGTCTTGCACTGTGACCTTTCCTCTTTATCTTCCTTGTTGTGCAGGTAGGGCGCAAAGCAGGTGCTCTCTGCAGCACTGGAGTGGGAGAGTCAATCCCCTTTTTGCCTTTCCAGTTATCAGTTCCTACTAGGGTCCACACACAGTTCGGCGTTTGTTGTGATTTTATGGTGATGATGAAAGGGTTGGCTAAAAAAAACTGAGCGGCGGGAAAAAGAGGCAAACATTCACTGTAGCTGTATCCTGATGGAAGTGGCCTGGCCCTGTGGAGACATTCAGTCTCCGTCAAGTAATCAGAACCAAGGAACCTGGTGATGTTTGGTCACCCATCAGGAGAATAATGAGGCTCAGGGGCCGCAAGTGTGTGAGGAAATGGCACCATGGATGGGTTGGTGGAAGGTACACAGGTGAGTCTTTGTGGAAAGTCATTTGCTGGCAGATATCAGCATCTAAGATGGGCATGCCAGGCGGCCGAGGCATTCCCTTCAGCATGTCTTCACACACAGCAAGTGTTAGGTAATGTCATTTCTAGTGGCAAAGAGTAGGAGCAGCTTGTAACTCTCCGTCAGTGGAGGAATGGTCAGGCAAATTGTAGAATGACCAACAATGGGATATCACACAGGCAGTGAAAAACAAGGTAACTGAAGATTGTCCAGGTGGAAAGAATGGACTTCGATGTGCTGTCAAATGGAAAACTCCTTACCTATCCTGTGGAAGTGTGTTGGGAACAGCAGTTTGCCAAGATGGCTGAAGCAAAGGACCATAAAGGGGCTGGCTTAAACAACAGACAATCATTGTTCTAGAGGATGGAAGTCTGAAATCAAAGTGTTGACCAGATTTGTTTGTTCTGTGGGCTGTGAAAGACAATCCTGGTCTGTCCTATTCTTAGCTGCAAGTGACTGGCAGCAATCTTTAGCACTCATTGGCTTGTAGAAACATCTCCACTTATCTCTGCCTTCATCTTCTCATGGTATTCTCCCTGTGTGCATGACATCTAGAAATCCCCTTTTTCCATAAGGACGCCAACTACATTGGATGTGAGTCCCACCCCTAATGGCTTCAGTCTCACTTGATTGCCTCTGTAATGACTCTGTCTTTATATATAAGGCCATATTTTGAGGTGCTGGGGTTTAGGACTTCAACATACGCGTTTTAAGAGGACACAATGCAACCCATCAGAACTGACAAAGGACCACAGGGTAGAAACAAACTGGCATGTTCCTCAGGATGGAAACCCCTGTGGCTCTAGGAGTGGTGAATGAAGGGGAGAGGAGAGGACATGGCTGGGGTGGGAAGGCAGATCAGGAGGGACCTTGGAGTGCCTGAGAGGAAGTGGTTTGTTCTAGTTGGGGCAGGGGAGCCCCCTTGAAAGCTTTCCAGTGAAGGTGACATAATCTCATTGTCCCTGTGCCAAGATCATTCTGATGGCAGTGTGGTCACAAGGTGCAGAGGACAAGAGGCTAAGGCGGAGGGTGCTCTATCAGGGAGACTTCTTCAGAAGGCGGGGGTTTTTGGGGGGATTGGATTGGGATTGTGGCCATAGAGATTATGGGGAAGAGATCCCAGATTCAGTGTCGGGTTTTGGACACAGTGCCACGGGGATGTGGGCCGCACGGAGAGAGGCAGAGAGCAGCTAGGTCTGGGAGGGCAGGAACACTGCGTAGCTGCTGATGCCACTCACAGTGGAAGGGAGGTGGACTTGGTGGTGGTGGTTGGGGTCCTGAGTATGTACAGGCCTGTCCACCTAAGGCTGAGTCTGAAGGGGCGTGGCCCTGCACCACGGGATTCAGAGCAGGCTGGTGAGCAATGTGGGGGTCCCAGAAGGAGGGAAGGAGTGTGCTCAGCCCTGCTGGCACTGCAGGCATGGAATAAGATGAAGACAGGACTGGCATGAGGGCCAAACCATGGGTGCTTGTGGGGATAGGTCAGTTAGTGGAGTGGTGGGGTGGGGAATAAAGAGAGAAAGCTATCCTGCCTGTGCCTTTTCTAGCTGTCTCGCCCTACTCCAGACCGCCCCAAAGACTCTGTGGGATAGACCTGGGTCAGCCGAATCCCAGCCCCTTCCCTTGGGCCTGCCGTGGCGCAGGACATGGTGACAGACGGAAGCAGCGGACCATCAGGGTCAATTAGGATTTAGGCCACCTGAGAGACACAGGGAGTATGGTCAGGCCACTGCCTGTGAGCTTGGAGGGCTGGCATGTGATGCGCTTCTGTGCTTCTGCAGGCCACAGGAAGCCGGGCGCTTGCGAGATGGAGTCAAGACTGTGGAGACTCGTTGGCATCCCTGCTGAGCAGCCAGCGGAACCGTACCATCGCCGTCCACGGCTGCTCACAGGGACTAGGATGCGACGCCTGGCAGGAGCTGCTGGTGGAGAAGGCTGGGGATGACGCTCCTGCCCAGATTCCGGGCTTTGCTCAGGAAGGGGAGAAGTTTGAGTGAGGTGATAGCGGAGTAGAGTGACGATGTGCAAATGTGCAGACAACGCCTAAGTTGCCACCCAAGATCTTGCTTGGGAGTTTGGGGACTTTGTTGTCGTCTGAACTGATTGGCATGTATACCACAGTTTCCTTTGGCAGCACACCTTCAAAGGGACAGCAAGGGCCCTGGGCTGGGAGTTGGCATGCCTGGCTTCGTGAGCTCTGGTAAATCGTTTCTCCTCTGGGCCTCAGTTCCTGTTTCTGATCTCAGTGAGAAGCCAGATCAGGTCCATGTACACGTGGTGCTTGTGGTGTTTGTGTGTGTATGTGTGTGTGCGCATACATGTGTGAGTACACACATGTGTGGCAGAGACCATAGAAAGTAGCCCAGCCACCCCGAATGGGTCAGGTAGCCTCTAGAGTTGGGCTGCCTGCCTGGCTTCACGAAACCTGCCCCAGCCCCACCACTCACGGCCACCCTGGGCAGTCCCTAACCTCTGAGTGACTGAGGCCACAATGACAGCATCTGTCCCCTGGTGACCTGCTCAGGCATCACCTGTAGCTTCCCAGGCAGTGGCTGGTGCCCTTCCAATCTGCAACCGCTGCCCTCGGAAGTCCACAGCGTGGACCTGCCTCTTACTTGGCCAATGGCTTCATCAAGGACAAGGCCCTCTCCTCTGCCTTTCTGGAGCCCTCCCCTGCCTCTCCCAGGGTTTGGCTCGTTATCAAAGCAGTGGAAGAAGGACTTGACTCCCTTCTTGTCATTTTTGCCATTACCTTACTCTCTGATTGTGACTTTGAGTAACCGTGTTGTCACATGGGCAGGCCTTGGGCTATGAGTGAAGGCATTCATATGTATCTCTCTTTGTGTACAGGACTCATTGACATTGGGGAAACTTTGCAATGCCCCGAAGACTTAACTCCCGATGAGGTTGTGGAACTAGAGAATCCAAGCTGTACTTGACCAGCCTGAAGCAGAAGTACCTGACTGTGATTTCAAACCCCAGGTGGTTACTGGAGCCCATACCTAGGAAAGGAGGCAAAGATGTATTCCAGGTAGACATCCCAGAGCACCTGATCCCTTGAGCATGAAGTGTGACAAGTGTGGGCTCCTGAAGGAATGTTCCAGAGAAACAGCTAAATCATGACACCTTCCAATTCCACCATCATGGCCGCAGACCTATGTACTTTAGGTTCGTGAATTTCCACTGCTTTGGAGAGTCCCACCCACTAAGCACTGTGCATGTAAACAGGTTTCTTTTCTCAGATGAGAAGTGAGAGGGCTTTCTGGTGTGATGCCTCCTTAGACACACAGGCAATGTCTCAAGTACTTTGACCTTTGGGTAGGAAGGGAGCTGCAATTAAATGTCTCGGCACTGTTGCTAATTTTGGTCCTGCTAGTTTCTGGATTGTGTAAATAAATGTGTTGTAGATGACTGGTTAGTGTTTGAGACTTCGTTCTATGTTTTCCCCTGATTTGTTCTGGTCAAAACTCATCAAATGTATAACTAGCATCCAGGAGACGTGCAAAGTCTGAGAACCTGGCACTGAATGTTTGCCTGGTAGTGTTAAGCCATTAATCAACCGACTCATCCGGGATAGAAGAGGACAGCAGACTTAGAGCAGCTGTCTGTCAGCACAGGTTACTCTGTGTTGTGAAAGTGTCTGTCGGTTTCTGAAGCATGTGTCACCTGCATCCACACTTCTACTTCCCTATCCTAATACATCAAAATACAGCTCTGGTGATGAGGGTAAACTTGGAAGTATGTGATCAGTAGTGTTGTTTTATTTTGTAGTAATTTTTTTTTTTTTTTTTTTTTTTGGTGATTTAGCAGGATTTCTAGTTATTTATCTTTAAGGATGATGGGCATTTCCCCAGGTATTGTGCAGTGGCCTTCTCTTCACAGGCCAGGATGTCATGGTCGTCGTATATCCCATGTGAATGGGTGGCCTGACTTTCAAGTGGACCTCTTTAGGCCCCTGGATGCTAGGCTGGCAGGGTGTAGCTGCTGATCAGACACTTCCTGGCAACATTGGGAGGAACCCATGAGGAAACAATCTCTGTTTGAAGATACAGGAAGATACTGCCAGAATCAGGTGAGTCACAATGCTTTCTCCTGACTAGCAGGCCAATCTCAGGGGACCAGGGTCTTCCCTGGGCTTGGCCTCAACACTTCCTAGCAATATCCTTTTGCTGGAGTGTGCGAAAATGCTGCTTCTCAAATAAGCGGGGACAATGGGGACCAAAGCCTGTCTTGAGACAGGATTTCCAGCCTCCTGGCTTGTACCAATGAGATGTGTATTATAATATAAGTTTAAAAGGACACAGACAGGTCTCATTTAAATTGTTTATTATTTATTTCCATGGAATTTTGTTTTTCTTTATTAAGACCAAAAATGTGTTTCTCATTAGCAAATGGCAACTTTTATCGATCATTAGTGGCCTGTGAGTTCACAGACTTGCATTGTTTCTGAACTGTTCACAGAGTTTACACTTGTAATCTGAAGAGCCTTCCTGCTCCTCGTCATTGTCAGAGGGCTCATTTGGAGACATGACTGAGAGGGTGGCCAACAGAATGGAGTAACAGATATTGTACCAAGACAATACCCCATACCATTATCTGGAGTAAACCGGGCTACTAGGCACTTGCCCTATGCCTTCCATCCAGGCAGTAGCCGAAGATGCAAATGTGACATTCCCAGAGGTGCCCTCCCAACTTGGGCCATTTGGTTCCTGAGGGAGCCTATTTGAGGATGCCCAGTGATACTATTCTTGGACCACATGCCAAGAGAACGCAGAAGGACTGGGGTGTTTCCTGGGTCCCTAGTCCTGGGGAGAAGCTCCCTGCTGACATTTGATGGCTTCTTTCTTGGCATTGATGTGATAGATCGTGGGGAGCGTCTTGCTTCTGGCTTCTTTCTCTTTGGAGTTAGGACACAGGTTGCTTGCTGACGGTGTTTCTGAGGTCATCTTTTCTCTGGATGGCATCTCAGGGCCAGGCTTGTCTCTCTGAAAATTGGAGTTGTGGTAGATCTGAAACAAAATGAAACATGTAGTTGTTCGAATAAATTATTCCTTTCCACCTCAAATTACGATTTTGTTCTGCAATGGAGAGAAGAATGCTTTAAGTGGCAGCAAGTGTGGTTATCTCTCATGACCCTGACTGAAATAAACAATTCGCAAGTCAAAACGGTAATATATAAATAGCATGGATTTTGATATTAAACTGCAATCCTTAGGAAGTAATATGTGAAGTCCGCATAATATGATGCTTATATTATCTCTGAGGGTAGTATGCTTATATTATCTCTAAGGGGGTAGTAGTTTAATATCAAAATCCATACTTTTTAAGTTCTCTACTTTTCATCTTTCAATAAACAATATTTTACATTTTAAAATGCTATCTTTGACACTTAAGCTCTTACAGTGTATTATTTACATTGGTGTCCTGTGAAGATATGTTTGAGAAGGAGAGAAAAGGGATCACAGAAATTACAGAAATGCTTTCTACTTTACCATCATTTTCTTGTTTCCTGGAGAGTTGCTTGGGCGTGTTTTGCAGAATCCATAGAGGTTCAGTTGGCGAATGAAACTCTTCAAGCTGTCTGTTTCGAAGATCCTCTCTGCACCTCTCCGTTGAAGAACTTCCCTCTGGAAGAGATCCTTCTCGATGATCACAGCGTCTCCATCATCGTTCCAGCTCACAGACTTGAATGTGTCTTCCTCCACGATCATCCAAAGCTTTCTTGGGAAGGAGAGCCTAAAAAGGTTCTGGTTGTCTTCCGTGTTGACCACGCATTGGTTTCGGTCTTCTGGTGGTGAGTTATCTTGGGAGCCTGGATCTTGGCTCACAACTTGGTCCTCGTGTCTGTCCAAAACCTCGCTGGAATCTGGATTTAGATCAGGTGAAGAACTAAATGGGTCCCCGCTTGTTGGCGCTCCACCAACAGACGGGGCCAGCTTGTCTTCATATTCCTGTTCGGTGTTCTGACTCGCCATGGAGCTACACCAGAATCAGGAGCATTTTGTACCCAAGACCCTTATCACTGTCCTAGCAAGTCCAAAATGCCTTCAGTCAGAGTAGGCGTGCCCAATAAATACTGTCCACAAAATTCTAGAGTCTCGGTATCAGGGCAACCAGTGACTTAACTCATCATCTACTCTATTTGTCACACGATGTCACAAAGGTGGCTCTCAGCCAATCTGGAGAGGGGGCCCTGGCCAGGTGTTGGGGGAGTAGACAGGTGGCATTGCCTTCAGCTTCTCCCTTTTCTAAAAGTATAAACAGGCGTGGTTCAAGTTCCCAGAAAAGTCTCCCATCTTCTGAAAGTCACATTGTGTCATAGGGCCAGGCCCCAGATGAGCTGAGAAACCATGGCTTTATGGCCACTCCCAACCATGAAGACAGGGGAGGCCATTTGCTGGACTCTGGTTTGCTCAAGAGCCAGCCCCTAGTTAGCCCTAGCTTGGGTTTCACCAAGACTGCCTGAGTCAGATGGACCCCTCACAGGTGACTTCCTTCTAGGAGATGGTGGTCCCTAGTAGGCTGTTTGACCTGATCTGTATGGTAGCACCCCTCTTTTCCAGTCCCCCCCATCTCCTTCCTGCTTTGGTCTCTTCCAAGTACTCCTAATGATTGGTTGGATCTGCTCTAGTGGGCCCAGATAAAGTGTTCCTTATTCCATTTGGTTGAGTTGTCCCCAGAGGTGCTGTGCCTGAGCGTGGTGGGAGCACTCCCCTCACTCCTCTACCACTATGTTACCCAGAGCACGATTTGTGGTTGGATGGCCACATCCTCAGCTGTGCTTTGGAGTCCCCTGTGGAGCTCTGCTTGCCCTTGCATCTCACCCTCTTGCAGATCACAACAGGAGATTACCTTTAGTTTCTGTTTTTTCCCATAAAAACTGTTTTCATTGCTCAAGACATGTTCATTTCTGAGGCCTGCTTTACACAAACTAGCCTAAGAAAAGTTCCTGCTTGTCTAGTTAGACCTGATTAAAGTAATCCAGCACAAAAGTGCCATCATTGTGTATTTGAAAACAGATGAGCGTATGAGTGTGTGTTGGGGTGGGCAGGAGGAGGGAGAAAACCCAAATGAAAGTCATCTTCAACCCCAGATGAGAGGATACAACAGTCTTTCTGGTGATACATTTTCTCTAGCCATTAAAGACAACTTTGTTCTTAATATTCACTCTGTATAGGGAGACAGAGTGGTACAGTGGAAAGGCCCCAGGCTGAAAGGACCCTGGGTCCTTGTCCCACTGAGTAGCACCCTTTGCCCACTCAGGATCGGCCCTGAGTGCGAAGAGGGTTGGAAGAGGCTCTTCCAAGGTGCTTTTCGATGTCAGGGCTCTCTAATCCTTCATGGTGCCCCCCATGCCTGGATGCAGGCTTGGTTCATGGTCATCAAGCTTTTTAAACAGGTTTACAAAGGTTTTGTTCAAGGACTCAGTGTAACCTGTAGGCACATGCACTCTGAGGCTAAATATTAAAATAGAGGCCTTTGGTGACATCACTGAATGAGGATCCTTGAGTATTCAGTTACACAGCTGGCATCTTTCACTTACATACCTAAGTGCTTTTTCATAGGGGAATTCTTAAGACTGAGAATGACATTGTGTTGTGGCTTTTGCGAACTTATGAACTCTGCTGATTACTTATATAAAGGCTTTTAGCCATTGGGTGGGAGGGGAACGATCATGAAGAAAATGGCTAGGGAAACTACACAGTGGCATTCAGCCGAGAGCTGGTATTGATTTGATTTAGTCACACTATGTCATGTGGCTTCTATGGGACCATTAGCTACCATTCTCCTTTGTTTTAAGTCACAGAATGTCCACTGGGATTACGAGTCTAAGACATCAAGCTCCTCTTGTCCCCTGGAGGGAATATTCAGGGCACTGGCTTAAGTCTAGACAAGAAGAGGCATGGTGGGAAAACCAGCCCCCTCCAGCTAAGCCTGCTGAGTCCCCAAAGACCAGCTCTGCAACCTTCAGCAACCATTCGGACATTCTTTATGAGACACCTGCCACCTGCAAGCCCCTTTGAGGAAAATGGTTGGTCTTCTCTTCCATGCTCCAATGGA